AAAACGGCTGGAAATTGATTAAAACTGATTGTAAAATCAAAATGAAAACGCGTGATTTGACCCTATATCTAAATGTCGATATAGGTTTTTCCAAATCTTGTACCAATTATACCCCTGTAGATTCTGGCCCATTGTTCAATGTCGCGTACAATAGTGTTGGGCTGGCAGCGACATTTTTTTTGACATTTTTTGTGAGACCATACCAGTAACGGTATTGACAACGATTTTTGCAATTCACTTTTAGCCTATTAAAGTGTTAGGCGATATCGGGATTTTTGTGGTATTGGTCAGTTTTGAAGAGTTTTTTTTTTCATTCACAACCCTAAAATTCTCCACAAGAAGCGAGCTCTTCTGCTGCGGCGGCCCCCGCTCCACTTCGAACTCATACCTTACCGCCGTGGCAAAGTGCTAGCTGTTGCAGTAGTTTTATCTAGGAATCGACGCATTCACATATTTAACGCATTACCGCATCATTACGTGTATTGTAGTACTAGGCGACTGTAATGCGCAAGATGAAAGTAGAAATCTTACCGATGGATACCGCCGAACTCACACACTCGCACACACAGCTTTGTTGAAATAAAAAATAATCCAATTACTCCTGAAGGCATCCCCCAATTTGTTATTGCAATATACCGAGCCCTGTGCTAGATGCTATCAGATCTGCAGAATTGAGGGTCAGTTATAGTATTCGACAGGTGTCAGGTAAACTCTGTACAGTTTACCTACCACCACGTCGGTGGATTGCATTGATATCAGATCTTAGGAATATATCGGGTTTCTCAGGTATAGGTTAGGACAGTTTAATCTGCAAAGTTTATTGCACGATTGCTTCGTGGGGGCTGACAATATCTTCCTTGCGTCTGGGAATAGCGATATCCGTGCATGTCTGTAGAGATTGATGTATTAACGCGAACCAGTTTGTATGCATACCATCGGGTAGGAATAAGTACTGACTCCTTTTCTACCGTAAAAATCCTGAAATCACAAAAATATACGCGTACATTATCGTTCATTTGCAACCAAAGTTGTATTTCTGAGAATTGCGAGTTTTGATTGGCTAGATGATTCATATTGACCGGATTAGAGGCTGGTACCATGCATAAAATTGGGGTGCCGTTTACAACCTTCGTTGTAGTCACCGTAGCATGAACGGCGACTTTTGCAGTCGTAGCATACAAATAGCAAGTCAGCCCAGCATAGTAGGGTTGCAAACGCGGGGTGCAAATCGCCATAGTAAAGCCAAGTCAAGGTTGTAAACGTTTTTAAGCACAACAGAAATTGGCGTCCTGCTGCTAGAGGATTACAAGGATCACAGTGCCTAGGGCTAGAGCTGTGTCTGTCGTGTGTTCACGAGCTCTGGACCGCGGTACTGCAGGGCGGTGAAATCGTGGATATGGGGCCGCGCGCAACTCTAATTAATCCACGGAGGTGACATCGTACAGACGCATTTGCCAGGCGGAGATGCTCATGCTGGTGCAAGGCCGCTGACACGATGCCGGGCAAATCTCAGGCCAACCGGCCATAGCTCCGAGCATGTAGATGCTGTCGGTAGCTTCGAGCAAGACGGTCAAGCTTGTGGGCAGAGCTGTAGTTTGCAGTGAGGCGATTCACTTCAAACAACGTCTACTGGTATATGCAGGGCGGTCGGAGTCTTCGTGGAGGTGCTATTCCACGGGTAGAGTCCCACAGTAACCAATATCGACCTTGAAGATGAGCGTGGATGCAGTTATAAGCACTACCAATGATACTGTACTTTCATAACTCTAAATCGGCTATATCAGCTCCACTTCCGTCAATATCAAGCTACTTCTAGTTGTCACTACTTTGGGTGTCTTACCGTGCACTTAGTCTCAGCAAAACATGGCGACGAGCTATATATAACCTGTAATGGGCTTGCTACGTGCCCACTACTTCGGCTTACACGTTAGCGCACGTGTATGAGGAAGCGTAGTTTGCTTTAACTTAGATTAACTA